TACATTCATATCTTTCTTCTCTCACACTTACACTTTGACTTAAATCATCTTGTTCCTAACTCCTGCTGGGCTAGGATAAAGAAAGACCTTGTTAATGTCAACAGAGTACTTAATAAGGTCAACTGTGTAACAGTGTCAATAAAATTTTAAAAGTACAATTTGTCACAGATAATGGCAATATGGATAATCTGTCTGAGAATGCCCTAAAGTTGGCAATTATTGTACCCCATAGCTCTATGAATTGTGATTAAATAGATAGATAGATGTTTGTGTAGTTTTCAAAGCCCATAAGTTAAAATCAATAAAAGGTTCTAGCATTTTCCCAGTAATTTTATGAAGATATTTATGTTTAAGTATTTCCCTTTGTCTGTCACTTAGGTTAAAAACAAACAAACAAACAAACAGCCTTAAATTTCTTTTTGTAATGCTATGTCTTATGCCAATAAAATTTGAAATATTTAAATCGTATTCACTTGCTATATTTTAATTATTTTATTTGGGACAGTTAAGTGTTAGAAATAAACCCTAGGCATATACAGATGAGCTTTGCCTTTTGAAAGTTTATCATCTGTTTTATAATATTTTACTCTCTGTACCATACCACCTCAGAATGAAGACAACAACATTTGGTGACTAAAGAATGTAGATGATTATTCTAGAAATATAATATACTATTATAGTAATGGCAGGATCCTAATGTGGTAGAAAACTGATAATGATTCATTGTCGTATATAATTATACATGGCATAAATGATTGGATACTTTATCACATGCACACAACTGGTGGTTTTTAACTATATATGCTTATGTATTCATTCGATAGGCTATATATGTATCTCATGTTGAAATCTTCTGATACCACTGAATGAAAATGCAAATACAGAAATCGAATGTATTTACTAATTAAACATCAGAATTGTGGCCCTAGCATATGTATTACTAATGGAGGAAATTCACTGTGACTTTAAAAATTTAATTCTCTTGGAAGCTATATTTGTAACAATAGATATGGCAGACCATTTTGAAACATAGCCATTATAAAAACACTAAGCAACAGAGCAACTCTGGATAATGGACTTTGTGATAGTCAATTCAAAGGCATTTGTTTTCTTTTTAGTATAAGGAGAAATCATATTAAGCAAGACCAGATTTGTACAATATAGTGTGGTAGAATGAATCCAAGGCTAAAGGTCAGGAGAACCGAGTTCTAGTTGCATCATTGGGGCTTATTAGTTATGTGATATTGGGCAAATCATCCAATCTTTCCAGGTTTTTTCTTTCTTTACTTTGAAGTAACATATTGGACCACAGTATTTTATGTTCTGTCTAGCTTTAAAATCTCATAGTTTCTTTCTCTGGAGATAAATATTTTTTTTTGGAAAGCAGATTGATTTTGCATTGTAAGAGGACAATAGAGTACATTTATCGCTTAAAAATTTAAATACGTGGAAGTTGAGCATATGAATTTTGAAATTTTTAGTTTTCAGCAATGAGCTTTGTAGTTCTTTGAAGCTAAGGTTTCAGAGATTAGGCCAGATGTCTTTTTTTGTTTAAAATCTCCAGTGTAGTGCTATTCAGTCAAACTTTCTCCTATGTTCTATATCCTTGCTATCCAATATGGTAGCTACTAGCCACATGTGGCTATTGAGCACTTAAGCAATGGCTAGTGAAACTAAGCAACTGAATTTTTAATTTTATTTAATTGTAATTAAACTTAAACTGTTATAAATGGCTACCATATTGAATAGCACAGTACTCTAGTGTGTGTGTGTACATGTGTTCACATGCATATACATGCTGAGTATGGAGTGGGGTAGCAGGAAGTAAAGAAGACGAGTGGCAGACCCTTATTTTGGATGATGAGATGCCGTTTATACTTTACTGCTCAGGATGTCCATGAAGTGGGATTTAACCCACTCCAAGAACTATTTTCTACTTTTGCTTTTTTTTTTTGCATTACATTATATGTTATGGTAACCGCTATGTATTCTAGACAACATATGGTTTATATTATTGTATCTTTTTCTAATTAACCTATAGTTTTTTTTGTTTCTTTGGGTTTTTTTGGAGACGGAGTCTCGCTCTGTCGCCAGGCTGGAGTGCAGTGGTGTGATCTCAGCTCACTGCAACCTCCGCTTCCCGGGTTCAAGTGATTAACCAGGATGGTCTCAATCTCCTGACCTCTTGATCCACCCACCTCAGCCTCCCAAAGTGCTGGGATTACAGGCATGAGCCACTGCACCCAGCCTAACCTATAGTTTTAAAGCTACATACCCCCACTATATTATGCATGTTGCACCAGTTAAATTTTATCATCTTACCCATCCTCAAAATCTTTTGTTGCGAGAATCTATGCCTGGAGTTTATGAGACCTTTGTAATGTGCTGGAAATTATATTTGTAGTAAAGTGATATTGTTTATAATCATGAGTTTCCTCCTTGCCGTGTGGCCTTATATAAGTTATTCTACCTGCTTTGAGCCTCAGCTTCATCATCTGTAAAGTAAGGATAACGGTAATACTAACCTTGTGTGGTTTTTATGAAGATGAGATTAGATAGTGAATTATGTAAAGAACTTAATACATTGTCTGGTAACTAATAATAATAATGATGATGATAATGCTTTGTGATATTGTATTTAGCTATGAATTCAGGATACACACAATGGGTTTGTTATGTTTATAATTAAGTAATAATATATTCTGCCCTTTTATTTAAATTTAATTTTGTATTTGTAAATAGTGACAATTATTTCAGTTTTGGATTTGAGATATTGTTCTTATTCCCTGAAAAGGGCAGCATTTGTGTAATGGCATAAAGGAATAGCAAAAATTTAGATGACCTTTTTGTTTTCCACATTCATATTACAATATGCATACTTCTATAAAATGCTATAACTTCATCAGCTTATGTTGGAAAATGACATGATAGCCTGTCTGTTCATCTTATGTTGTTTGTAATTAATTAAATATCTATTAGAATATGATATACAATAAGTGGTATATTGTTAAGCCAGTGCCTTTACCTTTTTAAAATTGACTTTACATTATCTCCCGATTATTATATACTATAGTCAATGGATGGAACTTCTTTGTTTTCATATTAAACTATATATGCATAAATTATATATAAAGTGAGTATTTAATGTCATTGAAACACATTATTAAAGTTATATTGACACATTCATTAATTTTATTGACTTTTATTATCTTTATTGTCTCCTGATCTAAATACTTTTATTTGTATAAAGATACAATTGCAGGACTTATTAACTTGTTTCTTACAGAAATGTTCTCTTTACTTGTAGGGTATTAATACAAGCCATTAAGCTAGAATTTCTTCTGGCAAAAACAGTCCTAACAGATGGCAGCTTTTCTCTCTATTAATTTTGGATTGGACATGTACTTTGGCTTGTTTGGTCATGTCATAGTTGTAACATAACAAGAGTCATTCAAGCAAAAACAATTATAATATAGCTGTGGACATGTACAGTATGCAAATTTATAGCCCAGTATCAAAACTATATAAAGATTTACATCATTTTCTATTGTAAATAGGAAGGTTAAGTAATCCATTAAAGCATAAGCTTCATAATAACTTATCTGGTATGTCTTTAAAGGTAATGCCAAATTATGGCAAATATTTAGCCAGTTGTCTAAGTGTTTTATCTTTAAACTTCAACATTCATAGAAATTAGACTATATTGTTGTATCATTCAGGTATCTGGTCATGTTAGAAATAACCTTAATCAGCCCCTTTAAAGCATATAACTCTTGATTTTTGAACGTAAATGTGAGGCAGATGGGCTAACCTCCCAAAAAGCAACTTAAATATGTAAGATAGAGATTCAAAAGTAAAGCATACCTTTTAATCTCTTCTCCCTATTTTGAAAAAAATAACTATCATAATAAATCTGTAAAGTCAAGTCAAAATATTTTTGAAATATTGTCTTTGGTAATATATTTTTGCCATGCTAACTATTAATTTATTTGTATCTGCTTCTATATATACTTAGTATCCTTGTATACTCTGTTTTTTCTGAGGAGACTCCGTGTAGTTTGCACTATGAACACTCTTCTACTTATTGCAGTCTTCAAAAATAATAAATTTAAATTACATCTTTTCAGTTAAATGATTAGCCAGTTACCTTAGATTTGAGCAGCATTTTCCAAAAATGCTATTTAGAAATAATTTATGGAATACCTGGCACTTAGCATTTTGTTGATTCCCTTTTAGATTAAAATTACCAGAAAATAAGTTCCTTTTTATAATAGGGAATATGAAAATCAGAAGATAAGAAAAGTATAACTCATTTTTTAGTGTCAATATATTTAATCAAATAATTTACTTGAAAACAAGCCCTTACATATGCTTTATTTTGAAATGTGCATTAGTATTAGTGTTACAGTGCCTTCTAGTTGATCTTAATTCACTTCCATTATCTTTTTTTTCATACCTGGTAAGTTTATTCATCTTAATTACATATTTTAATACTTTACATATTTTGTACAAATAATCCTATTAAGACGATGGCAAGAGTATAAATTAATGTAATAATTTAAGTTATCACTGTTCCCTGTTTAATATTAAGGTACTTGTATTAGAAGTGTTTATAACCCTGTCGAATTGAGGCCAAGTATACTGTGAGGACAACTGGACATGAAAGATACATTTTGTGATTTTTTCAAAGGGCTCTGTCTGCCCGCTTTTGCAATTTGGGTTTTTCAGAGGGAGTTTAATATTTCTTCATATTATTTTAAAAAGTATAACCTACTTGGTCATCACGTCTTTGTTAGAATTATTTTGAACATTATATACTATGTTGTTAATTGTGTTGTTTCTAATTAAAGTCATAATCATTATACTTGTAGAAATATTTACATTTCTTATTTTATCATTATGTGTGTATGCCTTTAGTGAATGCATCATCTTCATGAATTATTTTATTAATTTATTTAAGGTGGATGTTTTTAAAAACAAAATTTGCTTTCTGATTGCAGGTGGCCTGCATGCAGTTTATAAATGCCCTTGTCACCTCTCCTTATGAGCTTGATTTTCGAATACATTTAAGGAATGAATTCCTCCGTTCAGGACTAAAAACAATGTTACCGGTAAGTTGAATGTATACATTTATTACGCTGATGAATTTTAATTTTTTTTCACTTCAACAAAAGCATTTGAAGCTAGTAAATAAATGTGCTTTGCTATTTTGTTTTGTAAAGCATTAGACATTTTGTAAGCTTTTTTGTATTCCAGTAACAGCATTCTCTTACATACAAATGATGATTCAGAATTCAGCTAATAATGTGCCCAGAAGTGATGTGTTTTTGTTTTTTGTTGTTTTCTTAAGTCAAAAGGGAACTTCTTTTCTTTGAAGTTTGAATATTGAAAACATGAGACTTGTTTTTGCAGTTTCAATTTTCATTTAACATTTTCTGCTTTCATCTTTGATAACTTAGATTGATTTAATTGGTATTCAGCATAAGTGTGCATAGAGCTTTGATTAGTATATGCTAGACACATTACTTAAGATTGTTACTCTCGTTACAAGGCTGTAGGAACTTTTCAAATCAAAAACTATTTTATTTCTTAAATTGAATGTGAATATTTGCTCTAATCATGATAGTGCTAAAAACATTTTTGGAATGGCTTTATATGCTGAATCTTAACTAAATAAGCACATTTATTTTTATAAATACAAATACAACTACTCTGGTTTTATATTTTATTAAGTATATTAACTGAGGAGTGACTTTATTGAAGACTATGGCATTGTTCAAGACAAGTAAAATTATGCTAGTGTCTTTAAGCTACTCAGAATATACCTATGAGACAAGAAGTAAAAGTAAGGAAATGGGGAAAAAGCACTGAGGAGAGATTTTAAAAAAACAAGAATAAATGTCAGTGAGTGTGTGTGTGTGTGTGTGCACGTGTGTGTGTGTATGACCTAGTTTGCCAGAAATACCCAAATTGAGGACATTTCCTGGTGAGAAACCAGTATGCAGTATAAATTTGTAATGTGTGGTGGGATACTTTTAACTGAAAGTAGTTGAAACTCATCGTAATAAGTTGTGTGATTGGACCTGTTAAACCCATTGTAATAAGATGTATGATTGGGTCTACCTGGTTTTGGAAATTTCTCTGTCAATCCTATTTGAAGTGGTTCTTTCATTCTTGACACTAAAAACCAAGGAATTGGATGTGAATCAAAGCAACATTTTAAGTGACCCATTTAGAGATTCAGTGTGCAGTTAGCTTAGGCACATTTACCAAATATAGTTTGTGTGACATATGATTATTCTTGTTTTTTTTTTTCCACTAATTATATTTTCATCCAAAGTCTGTAGCCTTAGGTCGCTAAAGATAATCTTATAGTCTTGATTGTAGTTTGCTTTTGAATTGCCTTCTTGTTGGTTTCCGTGCTTGTTCTTACTGGGCTGGTTCTCTGTTTATAGGAATAGCTTTGAAGACTTGCTGGCTGCAAGGGCTCTGTGGCATCCTCTGCTCAATTACTAATATGCCATGTTTTCTGCCATAGCTGTTGCTCTTACTTTTCTCTCTTTCATTTCCCTCTATTTATAATTGAACATTCACTTTCTGCTTTATACTACTGAATGGCTAGTCAAGAGCACTGTGACTCTCATTTTAATTTATTTTAGTCCCTCATTTTTCAGAGAAGGTATGATATTGTAGCTCGTGTCCTTAAACTTTTGCACTTTTGTCTGGGCATATTAATCACTGTTGGGCTCAGTGGTCTCATGTTATTCATTTGGTTACACATATAGCTAAGATTATGTGCCAGTGTTTCTAAGCTACACTTTTCCGTTGGCCCTATGGCCCTATATAAAACTTTTTGTGGCATCATGCACTTCTTAATTTATATATTCTTTTTTTAAATTAAAAATAATTTTTAATTATGGATACATAATGTACATATTTTTGTGGCAAAATTTATATTTTCATACAAGAACATGATGTGTAATGATCAAAGGGTAAAGGATATCTATCACTTCAAGCATTTATCATTTCTTTGTGTTGGGAATATTCTAATCCTACTCTTATAGTTATTTTGAAATAAAAATAATCATGAGTTATAGTCACTATTGCACTACTGAGCACTAGATTTTTTTACTTCTATCAAACTGTATTTTTGTATTCATTAACCATACCCTATTTTCCCCCACAGCTACTACCTGTTCTAGCCTGTGGTACTCTTAATATATACTTCCAATTCGAATTTTCTTTAACTGTCACATCTCTTTGTTATGCCCTGCTTCTCAGATCTCAGTGATTCTCCAGCAAGATAAAAGTGGGAAGCAAAAGTTTTGGAATAGAACCTACAAGGATTCTCAATTTTTTTTTTCTCTCTAAGACAGTAGAGCTAAATATGATTAAATATGGCTCTGACTCTCAACTAAGAGGTTGGACATGTCCCCCTAAAGAGAAATTGTCAAAATCATAGTGTATTGAGGATAGGGCAGAGATGTTTGGTTGGGAAAAAAAAAAATTCTCCCCAGGTATTTCTTTCTTTTGTTTCCTTCCCTCCCTCCCTCCCTCCCTCCCTCCCTCCCTCCTTCCCTCCTTCCCTCCTTCCCTCCTTCCCTCCTTCCCTCCTTCCCTCCTTCCCTCCTTCCTTCCTTCCTTCCTTCCTTCCTTCCTTCCTTCCTTCCTTCCTTCCCTTTCTCTTCTCTTCTCTTCTCTTCTCTTCTCTTCTCTTCTCTTCTCTTCTCTTCTCTTCTCTTCTCTTCTCTTCTTTCTCTCTCTCTCTCTCTCTCTCTCTCTCTCTCTCTCTCTCTCTCTCTCTTTCTTTCTTTCTTTCTTTCTTTCCTTTTTTTGATATAGGCTCTTGCTCTGCCACTCAGGCTAGAGTGCAGTGGCACAATCACAGATCACTGCAGCCTCAGTCTGCTGGGCTCAAGCAATCCTTCCACTGCAGCCTCTCAAGTAGCTGGGACTACAGGTGTGCCACCATACCCAGCTATTCTTTTTATTTTTTATAGAGGCAGGGTTGCACCATGTTGGCCAGGCTGGTCTTGATCTCCTGGCCTCAAATGATCCACCCCAGCCTCCCAAAGTGCTGGGATTACAGGTGTGAGCCACCACACCTGGCCAGGCATTTCTCATATGCAAGAGTAGAATAAGAATTCAGGCAGATAGGCCTTGAGAAGTTTAGAGATAATTTCTTTGGAATCATAGATTTCACTACCGTTGTAGTTTATCACAATTTGGGAGGAGGACAGAGTGGTCATGGGTTAACATATACTATATACCTCACATGTCAATTAGTATCTAATTAACCTACTAGTTGACTATTTAAATTTAAACCACTGGAATTTATAGTAACATTACATATCCTTTATATATGCACTAAAGCTTAATAATGTGGTCATAGATGAGCCTTTAAAATCCTTACATTTTTCTCTATTCTTTTTTTTAATATACAATTCTAACAAGAATTCCCTAATATTCTAGAATATAGTATATTCAAAGCAACAAATTAGATGTGGTTAGGGCTAATATTAATTGTTGGAACATGGATAAAAAATTATATATATCTAGAACCATTATGTGTTGGGGAAAACTAGTTCTTAGTATTTCAATAATCCTTGAGATCAACATTATAGTAGAGTGAAACTTTTTTCTTAATAATTATCGGAATCTTCAAGACAATCTAATTATCTTAATTATATTCTGTAAAAGTTTATTTTCAAGATTCCTCCCATCCCTATGGTTAAATTTTGATGTTTGAAAAGAGTTTGTATTTCATTTATATGGAAATTTTATGTCTGATAAATTTGCTTTAGTAATGTAGAATAAATGAGTTGTTACAAATTCTCCAGTGAGTTTTAAAATAGTATTTTTTCTGTACTTAATTTACATTGATTTCTTGTGAAGTTTTCCCCATCTGCCTTTTATTTAGTTAAATAATTAAGAAAATATTAGTTAAATCAGATATTTGAAGAAAAAACATAATATGAAATGGTGTTTGTAGGCAGTGGGCATACTTTTATCTCTTTAAAAGTAAGTAAAACTCTTTCTTATTGTTTTGAAGACTCCATTTTGATTGTTTGACTGTTAATCAGTAGTGTACTGGCAATGGACTTTGATTTCCTTTGAAGTACACTATTTTCTAGAAAATTATATATTTCAGGGATTCTGCCAAAAATAGGTTTAAATCTATACAGCATGTCTTTTTAAAAAATAACAAGCATAATTAGAGTATTTCACATAACTAATAACAGTGTATTTCAGTAACTTTGTGATAGTTCACATTTTAATATATAAAACTTCAGTGACAGATTTGCATTTACTTTTATAGCATAGCCATCTTATTTCTACTATGTAAAAATATTTATTCAGTAAATGTTTACTTTATCATAAATTTATGAATATTTCGAGGCTTGAGATTTGGCTGAAAAGAAGTTTTATAAATGTAAACATGTGTATGTGTATATGAATATATATTTACAGTAAGTTCTCACTTAATGTCATTGATAGGATCTTGCAAACTGTTCCTGAAAGCACAACCATGTACAGCAGATCCTTGAATAATGTCCTTTCATTATAACATTGATGAGAAAAAGAAAACTGCTTTTGTTATACTTTTTTTGCTTCAAGTTGCAGTTTCCAAGAACTAGTGAGGACATTAAATGAGGACCAACTTTGACAGGCCTGGAGCATTATTAATAAAGAATATTTGTAAACTATTGCATTTATACATGTCTAAATTTTATATTGTGCTATATATGCTCATATACTATGTATATTGTATAAATAATGTCCGGACCTAATTAAGAACTAAACTTCACATTTAACCAGTTATTTTCACTGAAAATATTTTAATCATGCTGACTGATTTTCATGTTTTCTAACATTCTATGCTAATTAAATGGCAGTACTTAAATTTTTCTGACATAGTTGAAAGTGTTTAATTTTTATGATGATTTCTGAGAGAGAATATATGGTGATAAGAATGAGAAAAAAAATTATACTCTAAAATGAGTAAAAAGTTGTTTCTGCAATGTCCATTGTATTGGGTTTGTCTGGCTTATATAATTTTCTAAATAGAGTTCAGAAGTCACCTGATAATATGACCCAGCAATGTTAGATAAGTTTGCATTCTAATAAATTTCTTCATTCCATTTCAAACTGGAAAACTAGAGCTAAAGCAAGTTAGTTCTAAAAAGGAAACCAAATATAAATACATTTACTTGTTATGTTTTATATGAAATTATCTAGAAACAATAATTATTTTCATATGCTCTGCAGGTAAATTTTCAGTAAATTATTAGGTATGTGAATGTTAGAAAAAAGGCATCTAGAAATTGCTGAAATTTGTTTGGCTTCAGTAATAGTCATTACATCGCTATAATAATTCTATTGAATAAAGATAGGAACAAGAAATGTATCCCATTTTGTTTTATCGACCTAATTTGAAGTCCACCATGCTTGCATTTCCTTTTAGAGTTCAAGCTCAGCTCTGAACATCCTAGTCTCACTTTCGGTATCACCCTTGAACATCCACAGTTGTGATTATCGATTTGGGTTTTGAAAGCTGCAACTTAATGGACACATTTTAAAAGATATTCCAGGTGATATATATTGAGCCCAACAATCTCTAGTGTGGCATGCTTCTAAATTTTTTATACTATTATTATGAAAATTATCAGAGATTTGTAATGCATGTGCTTATAATGTATTACAAAAACATAACTTTTATTCCCAAGTTGGTATTTTGTGATTAGGCTAAGCAAAAATATAAGGTGGGGGAGGAGGTAGATGTGCAGCTTGATAAAAAGTCCTGATGCCTTTTTGCTTTAAAATCACAAAATATCATTTAAAATAAATGTGTTTATACATCTTTTCACGCCATACTTGGGACTGTTGTGCTTGAATATATCCTTGCATTTGTTCTTCATTAATACAATTGATCTGTATTTGCATTTTTTGCCAGAGGCATATGTGAATGTTCTGACTGCATGAGTTCTTTTGCAATCTTTGATTAGTGTGTTTAGTCGAAACGACAACATTTAATTTGGGTTGTTAGCAATTAGTGTTTTTCTGTTGTAGAACTGATCGTTAATTTTTTAATGTGAATAATCAAAATGTAGGGCATGGGAAAAAAATGAAGTGAATGCAATGAGGTCCTTTTATTTGGAAATAGAAAAATTTAGCTACATTTACTTTCAGAAAACCAAGTACCCTCGTCAATATTTGAAATTGCTTCTGTGTTTATAAATGAATAATTGTGTTCTGCCCTTTATTACCTAAATATGCTGTTGTCAAACTGTTATTCATGTGTTAAGTTTTATGTTTATATATTAGGATCTGAAAGAAAAAGAGAATGATGAACTTGATATTCAGTTGAAAGTTTTTGATGAAAACAAAGAAGATGACCTAACTGAATTATCACACCGTCTCAATGACATTCGAGCAGAAATGGAATATCCTTTGACAAAGCACAAAACAATTTTGTGTGCATTGTGAGAAAGGGATTTGTGGGCGATTTTGTGGACCATTATTAGAGTTCTTGTCTGCCAGGCCAATTTATACCCATTTATTTATATTAAAACCTCACTATGATGCTGTCCTTGAGATTCATGTTGAGGAATTGTCATGCTGTCCTGATGATTTACACAGAGTGTATTGGAATCTGCACAATGGCTCACAGTATTATAGGTATACTCTGCTCAGTGGTCTTGAATAAAGAAGAGCATAAGGCAATATATCTTACATGTAAGGATTTTTTTGGGAAACGGTCACTGCATTCATATGTGACTATAGGTAAAATACTTATTCAGTTTATTAAATCAAGCTTCAGTGACTTAGAGATACAGTGCAATTCAAATAAATGTCTTGTTCTGTATTCAAATATTTGTGTTTCTTAGCAATAACTAAAATGTTTAGATGCAATAGTATCTACCTATAACAAGGCTATGTGGTAGAAGCATCTGAGCATATAACCTTCCGATGGCAACAATTTTATATAAAGTGATTTTAGATCTAAGAGATGGTTGTCATAGCATTGCTGGCCATTTGTTTCTCACCTGTTATGTTTCTTAATGGATTGTGGTGAAGTTGGGAAACACATCAGAACCAAAGTGACCTTTGCATTGGACTTTTTCTCAGTGATATTTTCTTCCCTTTCCTACCCCTTGCCCCCACCCTCCAAAACTGGAAGTAATATTCTCCTCCTTGAAATACCCAAAGTACTTTCTTTGTTCTATTTTGTTTATGTACACTTTTGTGCTCCTGTGAGATTGAGGGCAGAAATGTTATGTTTAATCTTTTTTCCTTCAATGCATCTATGAAAGTCTTACACATAGGTATTGGATAAATGTGTATGCAATGAATAATGTTATTATAAGGAATAATTTCTAGTAATTTTTATATATCATTAGTGATACCAGTCTACTGTGGCTTCTATAATATTAAATGCTTTTCATATCAATTAATATCTTTACATAGATTTCTCTTATAATCAAACTTCACCATAAAGCTATTTTTGGATCCATTGTGTAGCCATTTAAGGACCTCATGAGACTTTAGCACAACACTCTTATGTGGGGTCTAAGAAGTAAGCCATCATGTGCTTAATTCTACTTTGGAGAAAATGTGGACATTTTAGGTTATTTTAGGATATTGAATTACATCTTATGTTTTATCTTTATTTTACCTTGGTTTTCCAGGTTCTCACTTTTATTACAAAAATGGATCCATTTTTGAAATCTGATTTCTAGTTTACTGAAAGCATCTAAATTTCTACCACTCTTTATATGTTGTCTCTACTTTTCATTTTTTATCAAATAGTGAAATACAAATGAATGAAAACAATAATAATTTCAGATTTAGTAAGTATTTCATCTGGATAAAATAAAACTGATTTTGTGATCTTTTAGCAGTTTACAGCATGCTCATTTGCCTTCTATCTTATGTGGCAGTGAAAATAGAGTAGCAGTGATTTGCATGAATAATATAGGTCCTCTATCACAACTACAGGGAGATCGAAAGGAAACCATGTTCACTGATGGCATGGCCATTTCAATGGTACCAGCTATAATCTGGAGTTCAAAATATGAATAACAGATCGTTTAAGATTTTGATAGTCAAATGGTCTTGGACATGCTCTTGAGGTATGTCTCTCTAATTAAAAGATCAAAATGATTCCATAGAATCATTACTTTATGCAGATGTTTAAATACTGGATCATAGAGTTGAAGGTTTAGAAATAGTAATGGAAGCAAGATTTTAAGTGGATGTTTTACAAAGTTAAACACCTTTGTTATCAATGAAACTTCCATCAAGAATCTTTAATTTTTTTCCTTTACTTTCTACTGATATGAATGAAGTGTATCATCTTCTATATAATATGCTGAAGGACACTGCTGCTGAAAATTACTTCTTATCCATTCTACAACATTTTTTGCTTATCAGAAATGATTATTATATCAGGTAAGAGGCAGTTATGAGAGTACTATATTTATAATTTGAATTGGATATTAAAGGAAAATGAACAATGTAGTGGGGCCTACAGAATATGTGCATATATATATACGCAGAGGGTATAAGAGTTTGACTCCTTTAGGTAACAGTTTTTAAAAGGTGTTCATTTTTAAAATTTGGCCAGAAGAGAGAGATGTACTTTTAAAAATGGGGTACTCCAGTGATAGGACTTTGGTAGCAATGAACCCAGCAGATTGCACCGCCCCTGCAATGGATTTTATTTGCTAGATAGTGATATCAAAGAAAAAGCACTGAAGATTCTGGGGTAGAACTTTGAAGGTTTTGTCTTGTGCATATTAAGTAAGCTTTTACTGTTATTTCTCTTATTACAGTATTTACTGATAAATGTGATCTTAACATCTAAGAAAATTATAGTGCTGATATTTCAATTTCATGTCTAGTAATGTCATCCTTCAAAATAAATGAGTATTATAACAACCGCTAAAGTTAAAAGTTTCAGAATCTAATTAATAGGGAATATATCTGAAAACCAGAAAGTTATGTAAAGGTTTCTGAGTGACTGAAATTATCCACAGCCTGGTGACCATGATATTATATTTAACTGTTCAAGAGACTCTTAGTTGTCCTTCATACTCTAATTTGCGTGAAATTCTGACAACCTAGGCTCTTTGATTTCTCAAAACCTGCTTGATTAAAGGGAAAAGGAAAGCTACCATGAGGCCAGCACAGCCTCAACAAAAATTACAGCTGTAAAGCAGCCCAGAGAATGATTATAGTTCAGACCGGTACAATAATTTGATGGGCATCGTGACATTACAGAGACATACAAAATGTTTAAAATATTAAATTTTGTGCTGTTTTTTAAGCAGTAAGGCTGGTAATACATTGAAATTATTGTATTTTAAATTAAGTTCTGACAAATGTAAACGGGGTACTCTGCCCATAGATACTCAGTTACCTGGGAAATGTCATTTATGTGAAAGTATGCATTTCTCAGCAACTATGAATAAATGAGAAGTTACCATCATATGGCATGTTTTTCATCCTAAGAACATCCATGTGAGGCAGAAGTGTGGCAAGCATTTTATTCCACATGGATGATTAACCTGGCCTGAAAGAGAACAGCTGTGTTTTCCTTATTTAACCATTGACTAGATTGAGGTTATAATCCAGTATTAACTCTCGACCTGATGATGACTTGAAAAAAAACCCAGATGTTTAATATATATTGCTATTTATTCTTATTCTTGGGACCAGACCCATTACTAAAGACATAGAAGAGCAATTAGAGTCTATTTGGCTTCATTTACACATCTTTAGTAGGTTGGCTGGTTATCAGCACACTATATTTAGGGAAGTTTATATCGTAATTTGTCTATAATAGTAATTCTTACTACTGATTTTTCTCTGTTGAATTTATTATCCCCTGACAAGTACTAAATCTTACTCAAATTTTAATGCAAAAGTGCTTTTGAAAAATTTTGCAGTATGTGAGTGGTCATTTTTAAAGCCAGAATTACCTTGATAGATTACAGAATTAGGATATGTTTTAAAACCTCTGACACTTTAAACAAATTGAAGCAATAGCCATGCATATTAAGTGTGTATGTTTTTATAAAATGGATCTTTTAAAATGTGTTGCATAAATAGATCCTTGGAATAGTTTTGTAACATAAGTGGCTCTGTCCAGTTTTGTAAGCTGTTATAGCTATCTTGACTAAAAGTGCTGTAATAAATTCAAAACATTGCTTGCCACCTAATGTGAAGAAACTCATCCCTTATTGAAATTGAGAACCTGTAGATGCCTAGAACCGTTTCTGTATCTATGAATGTAGGACTAATGGCTCATTTGTTTTTATTAACCTTAGAAACAATAGCATAAGTAAATAGAAAAAGTTGATAAGTATCTTTGAACAGAAGCATGAATCCCTGCAAACTAGATTATTAAGTCACTGGATGTTGTTGATTACATCACAGTGGTTTGGTGCTGTAACACCCAGACCATCCTTAAGCTTAGGCATACTTGTCCTAAGGGAGTGTAGTGGCTGCAGGATTTTTTTGAACAACTTCAGAAAAAGACCTAGTCCTTCTAATATGTTGAATCTCTTCTAAAGAAAATTGATTTGCATGCATAGAAAGGCATTCATGAATACTTTCTCTTTTTCAGGCCACAATATTACAAAATAATTGAAGAATGTGTTTCACAGATAGTGCTACATTGCAGTGGTATGGATCCAGACTTCAAGTACAGGCAAAGATTAGACATTGATTTCACTCATCTGATAGGTACGTAACATAATCCTCATTGTCCTCTGATTGTGTTTTATACCTTCTGTATTATAAGCACTTTTTAAGTGAAGAAGTTCAGTAAGAAGTTTCAGTTCTTACTGAACTTCTATTAGTATCCGGTAAATCTTTGTGTCTCTGGGTACTCAATTGCTATAATTGTTAATTATAATGATTTTGAGAGTTCTTCCTGTGAGATTAGAAATACTAACTTATTTGATAAGTTCCCACACTCCTGGAGGTAGTTTAAGCTTAGTGCTCCACAAAAACCCATCATATTATTATAGATGAATGCATTACTATTTTAAAAACATGACTCTGAAATATTTAATTCATTTTATACTGGTACCTTAGTGGTCTTGTAGAAATCATGTACACAATGGGGTCTCATTATGTTATTAGTGCTCAAATTTTAGAAAAGAAAAACAGACTCATTTCAATAACGTGAGACCTTCTAAGGCTAACAAATAGATCAACTTATATTTTCATAGACCTTAGAATTAGAAAGAATTTGAGGTGATCATATTCATCTCCTTAGATCACTAAGGAAATGACCTTATATCATCCAAGACTGGTAGTTAGCAGTACTTTTCAGGACAACCTCGGAAGGATGATCTTAACCTTCCCTTGTGAAATGTGCTGTGCTATCTAGCCTTTATGGCTAAGCAGTCTTATTTATACTTAATTGGAATTACTGTTGTTAAGGTTCAAGCATGAATTCATTTGTCTTATCTTTAAAGAAAACAACAGCTATTTAATGCCAATTATATGTTATTTTTCACTCCATAGCACAAGGCAGATAAACAGTAACATTCAAAAATGGATAACTTATTTATTATGTATTTTTTTTGTTTTAAATGTAATGCATATTTATTTCAGGCAATCTGGAAACTTACATAAGTGGTAAACTATCAATTACATTCATGATCACTCCCTTTTCAGCTTGGTACATTTCCTTATGTCTCTTTCTTTATGACCTGTCTATCTGTCTGTATCCTGGTTTTTCTTGGAGCATTATGAGAGTTTTTCCACATTAACTTTCAAAATATGACTTTTGATGTCTTTATGGTATTCCATTTTGTAAATACCATGGACATTGTAACCAGTCCTTTCTTTTTGTGCATTTATAATTGTTTTTAGATTTTCACAATTATAAATGAATGTGCTGTCAACATTCTTGTATATAAATGTTTGTCTTTTTCCCATTATTTCCTTAGGATTGATTTCTATAAGTGAGGGTATGAACTTTCAAAGGCCAAATGCTTTTCAGAAAGCTTGTGCCAATTTACCCAGAAGTGAATGTGAATGCTAGCCTCATTGCATATTTTTCAATGAGTTTGACAAGTTTATTTTGCATTTTGTTGAGGGTGTCATAAGTGACTATTTTCTTTTCTTTTTTTTTTTTTTTTTTTTTTTTTTTTTTTTT